AGAGAGAGAGAGAGAGAGAGAGAGAGAGAGAGAGAGAGAGAGAGAGAGAGAGAGAGAGAGGAGCGATACAAGATTGTTGTGCGGACCAAGAGAGAAGGCGGCCATAGCCACGGCGCTCGGACTCAGGGTTGCCAAGAGAGAGAAAGGTCAAGCGAAGGAGATGGAGGAGAGACGAAGGAGAGAGAAACCATAGCTGAGGAAGAAGGAAGGAGGGACGAAGGAGAAGAAAGAAGACATAGCCGGGGTGAAGAGAGAAAGAAGTGAGGAAGAAGAAAGGAGGGAGAAAGAGAAGCGAGGGTGCAAGAAAGAGAAAGTGCCGGTAGCCATAGCTAAGTTGAGGGTTGACCAACGCGTTGACCAAGGGGTTCACCGAAGTTGACTTGGGTGTTGACTCAGGCGTTGACCAAAGTGTTGACCGAGGTTGACCAGAGTGTTGACCGGGGGGTTGATTGGCGTTGACCAAGCGTTGACCAAGGCGGTGACCAGAGCTGTTGACCATGAATTTGACCAAGCTGGAGTTGGTATATTCTCGCCAAGCCTTCAGCCTATCCCCTCGCCCTATGGATGTGCACTCACCCCATGGTACTTGCTGAGTTTGTATGTCTCTTTTTTCTGCATTGAGTCTCTTCTGTCCAGGTGATAGGAACTCTGTGAATGAGGTCATAGAGCTTTGTTGACCAAACCCACTCGGGCTGAGTAGGGCTAAAGGTTGTGTTTGACGACTCGACCGACCCCGAGGACACGAACCCTCCCAAGGACCGGTACAGACCAGCTGGCTACTCGGTGTGGCACAATAGGCCCAAAATCCGAGTTGTGGGCTGCACAACAAGCTGCCTAAGTCTTGAGAGGACTTGTTGATCGCATCGTCCAGTTTGCAACGTTAAACAATTCCTAAGGAGTTCCGGGGGATCTCCTTAAATGCCTCCTGATCAGCAGTATGTTATGATCCTGGCCAGTTTCGAAATATACCTCCATCAGATAGTACAATGTCGTCCAATTGCAGAAAGAAATGAATGAACTTTAGAGGTGAGAGAGGATTAGAAGAAGAAGAAGAAGTAAGAAAGAAGAAGAAAATGATCTACACCAGCACAGACAAACGACAAGGCTCTTCTTCTTCGCCCAACAATCTCCTCCTCCTTATTTCCCCCTTCTCTTATTCATACAAGAAATAATAATACAATGTTGAATAGTTGATCCAGAATCAATGTCCGAGTTCCTCTTCTACTGCAGGTATCACTTGAGGTCCACCATAGCCATGACCGCCTCTCCCACTCTTCACTTTCATAGGCCGAGGCTATGGCGGACTACTAGGCCTTGCCCAGATGCCCAAAGGACAACCCAAAGCATCTATGGCTGCTCTAGCTCAGGCCGCCATGCCTGACCCTGCCTCGAAGCTTCTTGGTGTGGCTCTTCCTAGTTGGGGACTCCCTGCTGCAGCGCCCACCAAGGTGATGAAGATGGCTGCCACCATAGCCAAGTAAGTACCCCCGGCGCTCCTCCCCCTTCCTTCCTTCTTCCTCCCTCGTGTCCTTCTCCTTCCTCCCCAGCAGCGCTGCTCCAGCCAGCGCTCCACCAGTGTGTCGCCAAACTTGCACACCGAAAAAGAGGCCGGGCTCTTCGCCCGACTAGGAGATATAGCGGCATGCTTGCCTCTTCGGGCGGTGACTTCTAGGCCGCTCGACCTTCCAAGCAACCAGTACCTCCTCCCTTTCGGAGGGAAACATCATTGTAGATTATGATATTGCCCGTACAAGGCCTAAACCCAGACTGGTTGAACTGGTATCCACCTAGACCTAAGCTACAACTATTGGGCCTCTAGAAATGTCACTTTGTCTTCGTCTGCTCGGCCTCTAGTACCCGCACATCTACCCCTTCAGGGTGCGGTACCGGCCTACCCACTACTTGAGTGTTTTTCCTGCTGCAATCCCTCAATGTCACGGCCACAGGTAAGTACCGGCCCTGAGGGCCCAATAAACGAGCAAGTGCCCTTGCGGGCCACACACACACACAAGCCAACCAACACTCAGACAGGCATGGCCACACACACACTCAAGCCAACCAGCACTCAGACAGGCACGGCCACACTCACACTCAAGCCAACCAGCACTCAGACAGACATGCAGTCCAGCAAGTGTGCACACACAAACTTAGTAGCAAGCGGGAAACTCAGCAGCGCATTTAGTCTATAGGCAAAACTCAGAAATCAGTTGTGTGTTTCAATCCATGTTTGGACGGGTCATCACACTACTCCCCCCTCAAGAGCGAGGTCCCTTCGAGCGAGTAACTCATTCTGAGTCCTAGACAAACGTATCGTAAGCAAGCAAGGCAAAGAGGTTCCTAGAATACTCTGTTGCAGTGAGTCTTGCACAGATCTTAGGTACATCGTTAGTAGCGATTTGTCGCTCGTAAGCTTTGACAACGCACGATGCGCTGCGTAGCAGTTCCTGTTTGGAAATCCAGTACAGATTATCTAATGGGTGATACATGAAGTGAACCTGGTACTGTCTGTTGCGTCCCTTCCCTACGTGCTGTTTGATTCTGTCTATCTCATACCCGCCTTTGATCGCACGAGGGATCATGTCTTCGCGATAGCCGAAATTCTTAGCATCACGGTGGAGGTACAGTTTTGATGCATGGAACACGGGGTATGTGCGCAGATGGGCTGGCACATCAACTACGTATGACGGGCCAAAGTGGTCTTCGCCAATCACATCCAAAACTTCCCACGGTCCGTAATAGAGTGGGAGAAGTTTGCGAGAGACCCCTTCTTCTGAGAATTTCGAGATCTTGACCCAGACATAGCTTTCTACCTGAATGTTCGACGATCGACGCCCCTTGTTCGTGTGATGGATCATGGCGTGTTGTCGCTTGGTCATAGATGCAATGGCAACCTTGAGCAAGCGATCATACTTGACCCTGAAGCCAGGCCTGCCGGGTGTTAAGCCAGCTGGCTGCTAAGGGAATAGGTAGGAGAGCGGATTACGGATCTGCCAACCGAGATGCATCCTGTTAGGTGTCATGCCGATGGCAGAATGGATGAAGTTGTTGTACAACCCCCTAGCAGAATACAACTCTCCATCCCATGTTTCCTGATCCGGGATAATCAAAGCGCGGAGAAGTTGGAACACAGTTTGGTTGATTTCTTCATCCAAACCGTTGGCTTCAGGGTGTCGGCCAGATGTCATACATAGCCTGATCCCCAAATGAGACGTGAATTCCTTCCATTCAGTACTAATGAAGCGCGGATCCCGATTGCTTACGAGAGTCTTCGGGGTCCCGAACTGCAGAATGTACTTCTGTTGGAACTCATGAATCACTAATTTTGTTGGGGCGTGCGGCGGCAAAGGGATCAGATTGAGAAACTTAGAGAATCGGTCAAAAATCACCATGACTTGTCAGTAGCCGTTCTTACTTACCTTTCCCATGTCGATGAAGTCAATGGAGACGAACTCCCCGGGACCATCGGGAATGGGAAGGGGTGCGAGTAGCCCCATGGGCTTTTGTCTGCATGGTTTGATTAGTTGACAGACTTGACACTCAGCCACAAACTTTTCAGAAGTCCCTTTCATGCCAGGTCAATCAAACTGTCATAGCAGATTTGTATACGTCTTTGCCATGCCAAAGTGTCCGCTCCAGCCATGAGCCAAATCAAAAAAATATGTGCGGAGAGGCTCATGGTTGGGCACACACAAGCGATCGTGGTTCCCGTAGCGACGGAAAATCAGTCCTCCATATTCGTGAAAATCAAGCTGACTACTAGGATCATCCCTCAGCCGCTCAAGGATGGGACTAAGTTCCGAATCCTTGGCTATCTGCTCTACGAGCTCCTCCTTCAGTTTCTTCCGGAGGTCGTAGGATTTCACAAGGCAAGTCATGTACTCAGGGTGGCGAGACAATGCGTCAGCGACTCCATTATAACAACCCTTTTTGTGTCTCAACTCAAAGTCAAAGATGTCAATTTCATGGAACTAGAGAATTAACCTAGGGGACGAGGTAGTTTGCTCCTTGATTCACTTAAGGGTCTCATGATCTGAGAACACTTTGAAGTGGCGTCTCAAAAGATAGTGCTTCTAATGGTCCAAAGCCATACGCAAAGCATAGAGCTCGCGCATGTAGGTGGAAGTGACTATCTTTACGTTGGGCATGCGTTTGCTGTAGAATTCGAGCAGCCGCAAGCCATCGTCGTCATCTTGTTGCAGCACAGCGCCGATTTCATACTAACTTGCATCCGTAGTAACTAAGACTGCCAGTTTGGGATCTGCAATGCGGAATACTGGGTAACTTACCAAGGTGTCTTTCAAAGCTTGAAAGGCGTTCGTGCACGCGGTATCCCAAGAATAGGGAACATTCTTACTTGTCAGTCGAGACAATGGACCCGCAACAATGGAGAAGCGGGGTACAAACTTCCGATAGTATGACGCGAGACTAAGAAAAGAGCGCAGTTCGCGAACATTCACGGGTTGAGGCCAATTGCGTATGACCTCCACCTTGGTTGCCTTAAGCTCTAGGCCTGCAACAGACAACCGGTGCCCAAGATAGATGACACTATCCTTCCCAAACTCGGATTTCTCTAAGTTGAGATGAAGTTGCGTCTTCTTGAGGATGGTCAGTACTTCCTCAAGGTGCTTGAGGTATTCCTCCATGGACTTGCTGAAGATTAGTATGTCATCGAGGTAAACCACCACGAACCGGCCAATCTATTCGTGGAGGACTTTGTCCATGAGGCTTTGGAAGGTGGCCGGTGCGTTCGTGAGACCGAAGGACATTACGGTAAACTCGTAAAGGCCATCACGTGTTTTGAACGCAATTTTGTGCTGGTCCGCAAGATTGACCTCAATCTGGTGGTAGCCAGACTTTAGATCGATCTTGGAGAAGACCTTGCACCCGCCTGCGACATCAAGCAAGTCATCTATTCGGATTAGTGGATAGGCGTTCTTTCTTGTGATGCGGTTTAGGACGCGATAGTCAATACACATGCGGAGTTTGCCTCCTTTCTTCGGAACAAACAAAACAGGAACACCAAATTCAGACTCACTAGGCTTGATCCACCCATTGTCAATCATGTCGTCAATCTGTCGTTGGAGTTCCTCCAACTCGCCGGGTCCCATTCGGTATACGTAGCCCTTTGGAGGAACAACACCCTCGACCAACTCAATGGTTTGTCAGACCAATCACGTGGGGACTCCACGTGACTCGGCCAGAACTTCCAGGAACCGATCGAGTAGGTTTGGATGTTTGGTAGAACCGGTGGGGGTGGAGGATCAGCAAGGGATCACCTAGATCAGGTCGCAGGTTGCGAATAGAGGCAACTGAGTCTGAAGTGGGATAATTTTGAGTAGTAGGAGGTAGAGAAGTAGAGGTGCTAGTAGTAGTACTAGAAGTCGTATCACTAGGTGTCACTTAAGTAGTAGTGGTATTAACCGCAAAAGTAGATGGCACATGAGTAGGATGAACAAAGGCAACAAACACCTGTTCTTCCTCCTTGTGCTTGCGCCATTTCTTGCAGAACTTCATAGCATTCAGAAAAGTCAATGGGGACTCGTGCTTCTCATCCAAGAGGATAGGAAGCTCGTTCCCTCGGGCATCTTTGACCATGAAGAGTGACTCCTAACCACTTGGTCCATTCGCATTGGGACTGCAGCCAGCCCAAGCCAAGGACAGCGTCGAAGGGGCACTTATCAAGGACATAGAAGTTCAGTGCATGGGTGACAATTTTGTTCTTGTCAAAGGTAGTGCACACACCTTTGACTGCATACGTAGAAGATACAACTTCCTTGTTGCCAACTTGGGTTCGGCAAGGGTTCTGCAAGGCCACTTGCTTCATTCCCAAACTCACTTTGCGTATCCCGTGAGGTGACATAAAGTTAGCCGTCGCGCCATAGTCAATCACGACAACGAGATGGCGGTGGTTTATGAGAAGTTTGAAGAAGATAAGCTTCACTGTCCCTTGGGCACGCTGCTGTTTAATCTCAGCCCAATGCTCCAAGTGGTAGTGGAAGTTGACCGTCCTAGAGTCCTCCCAAGGCTCGACATAGAACACATCACACACTTCAGCCTTGGCTTCAGCAGAGGATTGGGCTTCAAGGGAAAACTGTTGATCTGCATCAGATTTAGTCTCCCTTGCTGTAGAGTGTGTTGAAGTCGACTCTACGCCCGGGTCTGGTTTCCCTGCAGCCTATAACAATCCTCTACTTTGTGGTTTGGTTTCTGGCAATGCAGGCATACCCCCTTCTTGAGTCTACCCCGCCAATCATTTTCAGTGATCCGAAGGTCGAGCCATGGTATAGTGGTCGCATCCTCCGATTTTGCTGGAATCTTGACTCCCTTGGAAAGTTGAACATAGTTCTTCTCTGCGTTCCGATTCGGTCCCCTTGCATTGACAGTCTTTTTAAAGGCAATAAATTTTTCTTCTTCTTGATTAACATCAGATTCATGGGCTGATGAACAGGTTGTATCAACGTCCTGTTCTTGGTCGTCACCAAGAGTGGGGTCATCTGCTTCGGCCTCCTCTTCAGCCTCCAGCAGGTCATGCACAGCAACACGGCTGCTGCCCTTGAACCGCCTGCCGCCCATGGGCTTTTTGCTGCCTGCTGTGGTGATGAGGTCTACCGCCTCGAGACTGACTATGTTTTCATTAGAGTGAACCAGTTAGTATACCCAATGAAGTCCCTGCCTAGGAGATTAGTAAAACTGGTGGGGACTGCACCTTTGATCACATCCAAGCAAGATTGGTCAGTTAGTTCAAGACCAGGTGTAGCAAACATCTTGCTGAGATAGGTTTGCAGGCTTTTCATGGAGCCCGTCCACTTAATGCGTTTGATTTTGTCAAGTTGGCTTCTTGCCCTTGTTGCAGCGTGTGGATCCTTATACTGGGCAATGAGGAGCTCCTTGAGGGAAGCAACCGGGGTGGCCTTAAGCCACCTTGTCAGTTCGATCTTTGGAACCCCAGCCCGCGTAGCTTGGACTTCTAGGAAGCCCAATACAACCGGTTCGACATTCATTCCCATGATCAGTGGCTGGGTCTCTGGCTGAGTCCCTAGCGCCTCGAAGTATGCCCTCATGGAGTTGATCCAGGGTTCAATGTCTTCTTTGCCGTCGTACCTGGACGGTATTTGCACTGCCTTTCGATCCACATACGGACCGACGTGGCTGGGACCAACACCTGCTGGTTCAAATTTTGGGGCTGCAACAATTGCAGAATTTCTTGCCTCGTTGCTTGTTACGGCAATAGCGGAATCTGCACCTGTTGCAGGTCCCGATGGGTTTGCCGTCACACTCAGGGAAGCAGCAGAAGTAGATACGGTAAGAGGGGCAAGATTAGTTTCAATCGCAGCTCCGGAACCAGGGGGTAGAGGAAGAGGATTGGTTACTTGGTCTTGTCGCAGCGCAGCAACCTCTACCATCAAGTCGCGGTACTTGCTGGTCATATCAGTCATATCCTCCTGAAGTGTCTTCAATTTCGCGAAGACGTCGACGATCTCAGTGGTATGATCTTCAAGCCTCCGGACCTGGACGATAGCGGTGAGTATGGACTGCAGTTGTTCCTCACACTACTCTTTGGTAAGCGAGGGAACAATTTCCAAGATGGCCTCCTGACTTTTCAGCAGCTGTTCCTTCCTCTCCATCGTTGTTTCTTGTTCCCTTTCTATAGCACTATCTAGGAGTGCTTGCAGATACGGTTTCTCCATATCGTTGGCTGCATTTAATAGGGCCCGCCATTGTCCTAAGGACCGTTAGTGTCGCCAGGTGGGTCAAATAGACGCCAATCAGCAAAATAATCAATTAGTCTCTCAAGAGGTACGCTCCCCTTTTTATTTCGACGAACACTCCTTTTCCCAATCCTTACCCACTCCAAACGGTCACTTTCCCTCTCTTTCTTCTCTTTCTCCCTCCTCGCTCTCTCTTCTTTCTGGTTGTGAGTCTCCACGGGCATCGAAATGAACTCAGAGAAGCAGACTGAGAAACTCAGAGAAGAGAAGGTAGAACTCCTAGCCGGAGCGGCATTTCATTTAGACTTAGAGAGCAGCAAACCAAAACAATCAAAGTCACACGAGAGGTCTGATCCAGCGACCCAGTCTGATCAGACTGCATACGACGTCCTCTCGAGTCCAGTCTGACCAGCTTTGTGACTGTACAGCAAACCAGACAATGAGTGACTAAATGCAACAATGGAGAGTTGAGTGGTGTACAGGGTGCGAGTCAAGCCACGAACAGTGCAACCAAAAGACATGCGAAACGTCTTAGTCGAGATCCCCTCGGTGGTGGGTGTCCTAACCAAGAAGAAATAACTCCGTAACACAGTCAGAAGACAATGGGCTAATGCCTAACTGGTTTGGGCCCAAAGGGCTCTTCTTGTTTGGGCCCGGTCCCACTGGGTTCCACAGGTCCCACGTAGGTCACGACCAGGTCCCAACCAAGAGGAGTCCCTCGTGGACTTAGTTCAGTTTCTACAGTACTGAAAAAACGAAATTTCAACTTCCGGCAGAACCTACAGACTACAACCATTCAGCGATGAAACACAAAACATTGTAGAAAGACTTGGCATTCAGATCAAGATACTTCATTTTCCATCCATCAGGTGAGTAGGTAGATCACATGCATTCAATCACACAATCAAGACCACACAGGAGTAGGAAAAGAAACGCAGAGTAACCCCAACAGGACAAACCATACCATGCACACACACATGGGCATCCCGTAGGTGCACGGCACTTACCCGAGTGGCCTTAAGCTTCGAGATGAATAGAACTCACCCCCCTCTCATCATCGTCTCATGTGATCCTCCTGACCCCTCTAACGCTACCCCTACACTAGTGTCCTATCTCCTAGGAGGGTCTGACTCCAACACCCAAGTGCAACGTCGGATCCCCCGTCGATGCTGAAGAACAAAGTAACAACTTGCGGTCCGTAGATGCTGAGTGGCCGCTGACCCTCAAGCTCACCTACTTGAGGGCAGTCCCTAAGTTGCCAAGTGTCTCCCCTGAATCAGATTCCAGGTGTGAGTGCCTCTCACTGTCGCCTCTCTCAAATCACCGCATGAAGTCCCCTCGAAATGTCTCGCCACCCTAATCTCACTCTCAAGCAACCTGGTTAGGTTCAACGTCGACCCTCCGTGACCTAACCAGGTGGGGGCAACTTCCCTCCACCACGCTGCCCATCTTTCCTTCACAAACCAACCCTAGCCCTAAGTGTTGCCCTCAACCACTTAGGTTAGGGTTGGGGCAGCAAAGTCAACTCTCACCAGCAAGTAGAATCCGCTTTGATACCAATGTTATGATCCTGGCCAATTTCGAAATATACCTCCATCAGATGGTACAATGTCGTCCAATTCCAGAAAGAAATGAATGAACTTGAGAGGTGAGAGAGGATTAGAAGAAGAAGAAGAAGAAGTAAGAAAGAAGAAGAAGATGTACACCAGCACAGGCAAATGACAACGCTCGTCTTCTTCGCCCAACAATCCCCTCCTCCTTATTTCCCCCTTCTCTTATTCATACAAGAAATAATAATACA